ATGACTAAGGATACTGAACATTTCTTTAGGTGCTTCTCGGCCATTCTAATTTCCTCAGTTGATAATTCTTTGTTTAGCTCTATACACCATCTTTTAATAAGGCTATTTGGTTGTCTGGAGTCTAATTTCTTGAGTTCTTTATATATGTTGGATATTAGTCCTCTATCAGATGTGGGATTGGTAAAGATCTTTTCCCAATCTGTTGGTTGCCATTTTGTCCTATTGACAGTGTCCTTTGCCTTTCAGAAACTTTGCAATTTTATGAAGTCCCATTTGTCAATTCTTGATCTTAGAGCATATGCCATTGGTGTTCTGTTCAGGAACTTATCCCCTGTGCCTAGGTATTCAAGGGTCTTCCCCACTTTCTGTTCTATTAGTTTGAGTGTATCTGGTTTTATGTGGATGTCCTTTATCCAGTTGGACTTCAGCGGTGTACAAGGAGATAAGAATGGATCGATTTGCATTCTTCTACATGTGTCCTCCAGTTGAACCAGCACCGTTTGTTGAAAATGCTGTCCTTTTTCGACTGGACAGTTTTAGCTCCTTTGTCAAAGATCAAGTGACCATAGGTGTGTGGGTTTATTTCTGGGTCTTCAATTCTATTCCATTGATCTTTCTGCCTGTCTCTGTACCAATACCATGCAGTTTTTCTAAATCACTATTGCTCTATAGTACAGCTTGAGGTCAGGGATGGTGATTCCTCCAGAAGTTCTTTTATTGTTGAGAATAGTTTCATTATCCTGGGTTTTTTGTTATTCCAAGTAAATTTGAGAATTTTTCTTTCTAACTCTGTGAAGAATTGAGTTGATATTTTAATGGAGATTGCATTGAATCTGTAGATTGCTTTTGGTAAGATGGCCATTTCTACTATATTAATCCTGCCAATCCATGAGCATGGGAGATTTTTCCATTTTCTGAGATCTTCTTCGATTTCTTTCTTCAGGGACTTGAAGTTCTTGTCATACAGGTCTTTCACTTGCTTGGTTAGATTCACACCAAGGTATTTTACATTATTTGTGACTATTGTGAAGGGTGTCATTTCCCTAATTTCTTTTTCAGTCTGTTTATCTTTTATGTAGAGGAAGGCTACTGATTTGTTTGAGTTGATTTTATAACCAGCCACTGTGCTGAAGTTGTTTATCAGGTTTAGGAGTTCTCTGTTGGAAGTTCTGGGGTCACTTAAGTATACTATCATATCATCTGCAAATAGCGCTATTTTGACTTCTTCCTTTCCTGTTTGTATTCCTTTGTCTTCTTTTTGTTGTCTAATTGCTCTGGCTAGGACTTCCAGTACTATATTGAATAGGTAGGGAGAGAGTGGGCAGCCTTGTCTAGTCCCTGATCTTAGTGGGATTGCTAAAGTTTCTTTCCATTTAGTTAGATGTTGGCTACTGGTTTGCTGTATATTGCTTTTTACTATGTTTAAGTGTGGGCCTTGAATTCCTGATCTTTCCAAAACTTTTACCATGAAGACATGTTGAATTTTGTCAAATGCTTTCTCATAATCTAGTGAGATGATCATGTGGTTTTTTTTTTTCCTTTGAGTTGTTTATGTAGTCACATTGACGGATATTGAACTATCCCTACATTTCTGGGATAAAGCCCACTTGATCATGATGGATGATTGTTTTGATGTGTTCTTGGATTCGGTTTTCTAGAATTTTATTGAGTATTCATTGCACAGATATTCATAAGGGAAATTGGTCTGAAGTTCTCTTTCTTTGTTGGTTCTTTGTGAGACTTAGGTATGAGTGTGATTGTGGCTTCATAGAATGAACTGGGTAGTGTTCCTTCTGTTTCTATTTTGTGAAATAGTTTGAAGAGAATTGGTATTATGTCTTCCTTGAAGATCTGATAGAATTCTGCACTAAAATCATCTGGTCCTGGCCTTTTTTTTGTAGGTAGACTTTTAATGACTGCTTCTATTTCTTTAGGGGTTATGGGGCTGTTTAGATGGTTTATTTGTGCCTGATTTAACTTTGGTACCTGGTATCTGTCTAGAAAATTGTCCATTTTATTCAGATTTTCCAGTTTTTTTTTTTTTTTTTTTTTTTTAGTATAGGCCTTTGTAGTAGGATCTGATGATTTTTTGAATTTCAATTTCTGTTGTTATGTCTCCCTTTTCAGTTCTGATTTTATTAGTTTGTATATTGTCTCTGTGCACTCTGGTTAATCTGACTAAGGGTTTATCTATCTTGTTGATTTTCTCAAAGAGCCAACTCCTGATTTTGTTGATATTTTGTATAGTTCTTTCTGTTCCTGCTTGGTTGATTTCAGCCCTGAGTTTGACTATTTCCTGATGTCTACTCCTCTTGGGTGTATTTCCTTCTTTTTGTTCTAGAGCTTTCAGGTGTGCTGTCAAGTTGTTAATGTATGTTCTCTCCAATTTCCATTTGTAGGCACTTAGAGCTATGAGTTTTCCTCTTAGCACTGCCTTCATGGAGTCCCACAAATTTTGGTATGATGTTTCCTCATTTTCATTAAATTCTAAAAAGTCTTCAATTTCTTTCTTTATTTCTTCCTTGACTAAGTCATCATTGAGTAGAGCATTGTTCAGTTTCCACATGCATGTGGGTTTTCCATTGGTTTTGTCATTATTAAAGACCAGCCTTATTTCATGGTGATCTGATAGGATGCAAGGGACTATTTCAATCATTTTGTATCTGTAGAGGCATGTTATGTGAGTCATTATATGGTCTATTTTGGAGAAGGTACCATGAGGTGCTGAGAAAAAGGTATATTCTTTTGTTTTAGGATGAAATGTTCTATAGATATCTGTTAAATCCATTTGGTTCATAACTTCTGTTAATTTCAATGTATCTTTGTTTAGTTTCTGTTTCCATGATCTGTCCATTGCAGAGAATGGAGTGTTAAAATCCCCCACTATTATTGTGTGAGGTGCAATGTGTGCTTTGAGCTTTAGTAAAGTTTCTTTTTTTATGTGTGTTCCCTTGCATTTGGAGCATAGATGTTTAGAATTGAGAGATCATCTTGCTAGATTTTTCCTTTGATGTGTATGAAGTGTCCTTCCTTATCTTTTTTGATTCCTTTTGGTTGAAAGTCTATTTTATTTGATATTAGAATAGCTACTTCAGCTTGTTTCTTGGGACCATTGGCTTGGAAAATTGTTTTCCATCCTTTTATTCTGAGGTAGTGTCTGTCTTTGTCACTGAGGTGAGTTTCTTGTATGCAGCAAAATTCTGGGTCCTGTTTATGTATCTAGTCTGATAATCTACATCTTTTTATTGGAAAATTGAGTCCATTGATGTTAAGAGAAATGATTTTTGCTTCCTATTACTTGTGTTATTAGAAGTAGAATTATGTTTGTGTAGCTATCTTCTTTTGGGGTTGTTGGAAGATTACTTCCTTGCTTTTTCTAGGTTGTAGTTTCCCTCCTTGTGTTTGCGTTTTCCATCAATTATCCTTTGAAGTGCTGGGTTTGTGGGAAGATATTGTGCAAATTTCATTTTGTCATAGAATATCTTGGTTTCTTCATCTATAGTGATTGAGAATTTTGTTGGGTATAGTAGTCTGGACTGGCATTTGGGTTCCCTTAGGGTCTGTATGATATTAGTCCAGGATCCTCTAGCTCTTGTAGTCTTTGGTGAGAAGTCTGATCTAATTCTGATAGGTCTGCCTTTATATGTTACTTGACTTTTTTCCTTTACTGCTTTCAGTATTTTTTCTTTGTTTTGTGCATTCAATGTTTTGATTATTATGGAGGTATTTCTTTTATGGTCTAGTCTGTTTGGTGTTCTGTAGGCTTCTTGTATGTTTATGGGCATTTCATTTTTTAGGCTAGGGAAGTTTTCCTGTATTCTTTTTTTGAAGATGTTTACTGGCCCTTTAAGTTGGGAATCTTCACTCTCTTCTATACCTTTTGTCCTTAGGTTTGGTCTTCTCATTGAGTTTTGGATTTCCTGGATGTTTTGGGTTAGGAGCTTTTTGCATTTTGCATTTTCTTTGACGCTGTGTCAATGTTTTCCGTGGTATTTTCTGCACCTGAGATTCTCTCTTCTATCTCTTGTACTCTGTTGTTCATGTTTTCGTCTATGACTCCTGATCTCTTTCCTATGTTTTCTATCTCCAGGGCAGTCTCCCTTTGAGATTTTTTTCATTGTTTCTATTTCCAGTTTTAGATAATGGATGGTTTTGTTCAATTCCTTCACCTGTTTGGTTGTGTTTTCTTGCAATTCTTTAAAGGATTTTTGTGATTCCTCTTTAAGGGCTTCTACCTGTTTACTTGTACTTTCCTGTACTTCTTTAAGGGAGTTACTTATGTCCTTCTTAAAATCCTCTATCATCATCATGAGAATTGATTTTAAATCTGAATCCTGCTTTTCTGGTGTGATGGGGGTCCAGGGCTTGCTATGGTGGGAGAACTGGGTTCTGATGATGCCATGTAACTTTGGTTTCTGTTGCTTTTTTTCTTGAGCTTGCCTTTCGTGATCTGATTAACTCTAGTGTTACCTGTGCTCACTGAGTAAGACTGGAGTCTGTCTTTCCAGTTATCTTGCTTGTGTCAGAATTCCTCAGAGTCCCGATGGTTCTGTGTTCCTATGATCCTCAGCTCCTGGGTGGAAGAACTCCTGGGACTCAGGCCGCCTCTGAGATCCTGAAATCCTGCTGCTCTGTGTGTAGCAGCTCCTCTAGGATGGCTCAGGACAAGGTGTCTCCACAGGAGCAGACCAGCTTGGTGTCTGCCCCAGCCATAAGGACCAGACACAGGGCGGAAAGGAAGTAGTATTCCGGATGGGCGGGGTTTGGGTAGCTGATGGTTCCTGTGCACCCCTGGCTCCCAGTTGTAACTCTGGGGCATGGGGTAGTGGGTGAGGGTTCTTACTCGCTGCTCTCAGTACAATGGCTCCTCTAGGATGGCTCAGGACAAGGTGTCTCCACAGAAGAAGATCAGCTAGGTGTCTGCGCCAGCCAAAGGCCAGTCAGTGCTCTTAAGCACTAAGCCATCTCACCAGCCCTCTGTTTTTATTTTTAACCCCAAGAGTCGGATCCAGGAAAACAGTCCTTCTGGAAACTTGTCACCTTACCCAAGATTGGTCTTATAGCCTTCATGATCATCTCTCTCAGCTCTTGTTTTGGCTTCCTGGACCCAACCCTGTCTCTCTTTGTCAAGGAGAAGGTAAGCACTCTGTTCTGCAGCAGTGGCCTTTTTATGTGCCCTCAGGCTCCTTAGAGGAAGACCTTTAGCTGTGGAAAGGATGTAGACAGGGAGCTGCACTCTGGGAAAGATTGTCTTCCCTCATTGTTGTTCTTTGAGGGATACAACTCTGTGATGTGTAGTTCTGATCCATTAAAACAACAAAAAAGAATCTTCTCCTAGAGTCCAATGCACTGTCTCCTTCTACACCAGATCTTGCTCACGTTGTTCTAGGTCTGAGCCCTCTGTGCAGGCATCTTCCATGTTACCTACTAGGACACCTTTTTTCTACTTGTGTGAGTTGTAATGAGGCATTAGAAGTGGTTACTAGGTCATTAGGTCACTAGGTCTTCTGATGTGAGTTTTCCTTCTCTCCCAGATGTCCCCTGGTCCACTTTCTTTTTAGCTATTTGATATAATCAGATGACAATGGTCTATACTACAGACTAAGAGAAATGAACCAAGAGTCTGCATTGCTGAAACATAAATGCTGGATTCGTATTAGTTATTTTGCTTTTCACAGTGACACACCCTCTCCTGTACAGACCCTGACCCCCAGAAATCATACCTAGAGCATCCTTTAAAAAGTTCTCTGTGTGAACTTTTTCTTGTATACATAAAATTTCTGAATTACTATATATGAAAATGCAACAGTTTGTAGAAATCAAATGATATGCTAATGCCAAATGTTACAAAATAAAACTTCTAGGATTTCTGGTAGAAGGTTGGGATTTTTTTTCCTCCTTAGAAAAAAAGTGTTATCCACGAACAAAGTAAGAAAAAAATTGAAGGGAAAATTTTATTAAATTTTACTTCTTTTACTTATTCACTTTACATCCCGTTCACCACCCCTCCCTGTCACTCCCTCCCACAATCCTTTCCCCCTTCCTCCTCCCTCACCCCTCCCCTTCTCCTCTGAGCAGGTGGGAGTGCCCCTGGATACCCCCCCAACCCTGGCATTTCAAGTCTCTGTGAGACTAGGAACATCCTCTCCCACTGAGGCCAGACAAGGAAACTCAGCTAGAAGAACATAGCCCATGTATAGGTAATAGCTTTTGGGATATCCCTTATTCCAGTTGTCTTGATTGATAACTTGATTAGATAGAAAGGTGCCTAAGAAATGAGTAAGGTGTGCCTCTGGGTAAGGTTACTTCCAGAGAGCACTAACTAGGTGGGATGCCCTGATGTTGAAGTATCATCCCAGAGATGGGGCTGGGATGAAATGCAGGAAGAAAGGAGAAATCCAATGAGCACAGACATACTCTCTCTGCTTCCTGGCTGCTAGCATGCAAGTTCTGTGTTCTTTTGCATCCTCCCCTCCAGATGGATCCTCCATCCACCCCTCCAGGATGCTCTGAAACCATGAGCCAGAATGAGCTACAGTCTCTCTCTTTACACTGTTCTCTAGGCACAGCTAGCCACACATGAATACTGTGTGTAACTGAGGGAAAGGGAGATGTATATTTTAAAGAGAGATGTAGTGTTCAATTTTAACATGGCGTTTCTTTTCCAGTTCAGTTTATCAACTGGATATGTGGGCCTGGTCTTCCTGGGTCTGTCTCTATCCTACACCATTTCCTCACCGCTGTTTGGTCTACTCAGTGATAAGAGGCCTGTATGTACACTGAATTATACTTGAGTTGCTTTTGCATGTTTAGATCTGTAGCTACTTCCCCAGAATTCTGAAGCTCCATTGCTTAAAGCTGACACCTTCAGCTGGCCTGAGAGAGAATCCAGTGTCTCCTCAGCCTCAGTTGTTGCTCTAAGTGGGCACAAGTTCAGTATTTCAGTGAAAACGAGTCTGATGATAAAACTCCTGCAAATGATGATTGGACTGTGAGATTACTTGTTTTTTTGTTTTGTTTTGTTTTGTTTTGTTTTGTTTTGTTTTTAATTTTTTTGAACATGAAATGCTTTTTTATAGCATGTTTTACAAGGGGAGAGGGTAAGTGGGGTCAGTTGGTGGAAAAGTACAGAATCTTCTTGGCCTGTGCCTTGAAACATGTCATGGTCTATACTGTACACTGCCTTGATAGAGGGCCTCACTGTATGGACCAGACTGGTCTGGAAATCGGTCCCCTTGCTTCAATCTTCTCTGAGCTAAGATCACCCCCTGTCATTGATAAGACAAGCCTGGCTTATATTGTACTTTCTAAAGCTTCTTTACTGATCCATGCAAAACAAAATAAAATAATGCAAAAGCCCTGATCCAAAGGCAGAGTCTTAGAAGTTCTTGGACTTGATCAGCTTGAGAAGCTGTTATACGGAAATTATGACTTAGTGAGTCTAAAAGATGGCCCTGGAAATGTGTATCAACTCTTCAGTAGCCATCTTGAGAAGAATCCCTTCTGCTCCCCTTCAGTTTGGCCTGACCCATTCGATCTGCATGACTGATATGCAGAAGCAGTACCTTTAACAGACCTCACATTCCCATGGCTGCTTCTGAAGCCTTACTTCTTAGAGCTTACATTTTTCTCTTTTTAGCTTTGAACATACAGTTATTTATCAAGACATATATATTATAGGGATTGGCTTAGTAACCCAAGTCTCAATAGGATAATGCCTTCTTTTTTAAAAAAGATTTGCCTTCATTTTTTGTTTGTGTCTGTTCACATGTATGCCACACATATATATGTGGGTGACCTCAGAGACCAGAAATGGGCATTGACTCTCCTGGACCTGGACTTCTAGCAGTTGTGAGCCACCTGACATAGGTGCTGGGAACAAACTTGGATTCCATGGAAGAGGACTAATACAGCTTTAGCAGTACATGCATTAATAGTTCAACAACGACTTTGGCTGGGTGGTGGTAGCCTTTAATCCCAGCACTTGGGAGACAGAGGTGGGTTGATCTCTGTGAATTCAAGGCCAGCCTAGTCTACAGAGGAGTTCCAGGACAACCAGGACTACAGAGGACAACCCTGATTCAAAAAAAAAAAATCACCCCACCCCACCCCCAAAACTTCAAAACAAACAAACAAACAACAAAAAAATCCCAGTGACTTTGATTTGGAACTATATGGAAAGAACTTTTAACCACATCTCAAACAGTTGCCTTTGGAGCTAAGTATGAAGACATAACCTTAAGCCAGGCATCACTGGTAGCAAATGTTAATTACCCCAGCTCCTAGGAGGCAGGAGGCCTAAGAGGTTATTAGTTCAATGCCAACCAGGGCTATATTGCAAGACCTTGCTTTAGAAAGAAAGACATAGGCAAGTTCTTACCTATTTGTAATGGTTCATGATGTGCAGATCCATAGCGTGCTCCCTTCTTACGGGACTTCTACGCTCTTAGAAAATATTCTCCTTGTCCTTAAGTTTATTATCTACTGATTTTCTCTAAATGTATAACTTCGTTTGCTTCAGTGGATTTGGATTTTTGGATGTTATTATTGTAGTTTTTAAAAAAATGTTTGATTAATAGAGGGTCTTTTGGCTTAAGCTTTAAATTCTTTTTCTTTAGAATCTAAGGAAATGGTTTCTGGTTTTTGGAAACTTAATCACAGCTGGGTGCTACATGCTCTTAGGACCTGTACCCCTTCTGCACATTAAAAGGTAACTTTTCTTGTCTTCCAGGTTTTTGGAGAAACAGTAATTATTTAACCTTTTAAATGGATTGGTACTGTGGGCATTGCTATTTAAACAATGACCTTTACCTTGAACTGGACTGGACTGTTTGCTTGACTAACAGAGCCTTATTTACTAGAAGTTGGCAGTGCTCTAAGCAAACCTTAACACATGAAATCTTTATCAATTGAGAAAGCTGTTAATTCTTATCTATAAAATGTTTGTTCAATTGTTTGTTTTAAGCTGAGCCTGGCTTTGAACTTATGTTCCTCTGGACTCTTCTCAAATGCTAGGATTATAAACCTGCACCATCTTATCTGCTTTCTTCTTGTTTCAATTTCATGGTTGTTTGAAATAATTTTAAAATATATTTATTATTGCAATTCTCTGTTTGATACTTAAGAGAATACAATTTTTAAAAAAAATTCTTTCTTCTCACTCACCGAGAGTGGAGGGAGACTGAGGCTTTTATTGTTTCCAGGCCATTCTTAGCATGTTGCTCATTAAAGATTATTTATTATAATTTTTAATTTAAATTTATCAAAACAAAATTGAGCCTCTTAGACTTTTTCACATACTTCTAGGATGAAACACAGCATCTCAAGAGGGGGTGACACCGTTACAGGAGGGGTGACAGCATCATAGGAGGGGCTGATTTTGGAGTCTTTTGGACCTGGATTTGAATTTTGACCTAGTCAAATGGTAGCAGAACTTGAACAAATCATTTAACTTCCAAAAACCTAAGCTTTCTTGTCTACAGAAAGAAACCAGAGCCAGGAACATAGTTAGCATACTAAGATAATTGCTGTAAATCCTGGAAACTTGAGTGAATTCTCCAGGATTTAACTCCAGGCATTACAAGGTGAAAGGAGAAAACCAACTCATGCTTGTTGCCCTCTGACCTCTACACACACTGCGGCACACCTCCCTTCCAAAATAAAGAAATACGATTAAAAATTTTTAAAGGAACTAAAGCTAATTAATACAGACATGACAAGAATGAAATGCATGTCTGTCAAGTACCTAGATAAAGCCCCATAAAGAATAACAGTTTCTCTTCTCTTCCTTTGCCTTTCCCTTCTTTCCCATGTTTAATGAGATGAACAACAGCATTGACATTGAGAGGATGTTCTTATGGTGAGCTGGCCAGGTGGTTACAGACATGTAGTATGTATGACTAACCACATGTATGTGGAATGTGTGAACAAAAGTGACTTTGGTTGATGCATGAGCTGCATTTGCAGCAGAGGTCTAAGGCACCAGCGTGAGTTCTCCCTGAGTGTCATGAGACGAGCTGAAGAAGCCCAGCCATTTATGCATCTGACTCTGGGATACTACCCTCCTGGGATTTAAGTTCATGTCTCTTAAAATACTAATGTCTTGCTTTCCTCATGTCTCTCTGCAGTCAACTCTGGCTTCTTGTGCTGGTGTTAGTTATAAATGGTGTCTCTGCTGGAATGAGCATCATCCCGACCTTCCCAGAGATGCTCAGTTGTGCATAGTAAGTTTCTCAATTGTCTGAAGAGCTGCAGTATGATGGGCATGCGGATGGGATTTCCAATCTCACCTCAACTGTTCAGTCCCATAGGTTGTTTGCCCAATAATAAATTCTCATGATTTCATAGCATGTAAATACTGGGATATAAATCATATAAGTAATAACGAATCATACTGGTGATAGCATAGTGACCACATGGTAGGAGGTAGAGTAGGTTAAAGGGCTTGCCTTGCTGTATGTCTCAGGTGGTGTGTGTGTGTGTGTGTGTGTGTGCGCGCGTGTGTAATTTTAAAAATCCAGAGCCAAATGGAGAGGTTTCAGTGTTTCCCCTGTTAACTTGTGACTGAAGGAGAACCATACAAGTGCATCGGGTGACCAGCTTTCTGTCCTTGGCCATTGTTCCTTGTATAGTGGGCGTGTTCATAAACACTGACTATGCTGCCATTGCTCAATGATGCACAGAGGACAAAGAGCAGGTTCTGTATTTTCTTAGAGTAGCCTTTGTTCTCTTCATCCTATTTCAAGAATTTCTCAATTATATTCTTAATTGACATTTAATGCAAATGGGTTATGAATCTTACTATTATGCAGATGTAACTGTTATTTTATGAAGATACCTTCAAATTTGATTCACATATTTTTTTGATAATTTTTGAGATTATATTACTATATTTCACCCTTCCCTTTATTTATTCCAAATCCTCCCATATCCCCCAACTCTTCTCCAATCCAGTTTCCCTTTTTTCATTGTTATTGAATGAATATATGCATTTCTTTACACATATGTTCCTAAACCTAGTCATTATGTTACTTGTATGTGTGTTTTCAAAGATGACCATTTGGCACTAGACAAACAATTGGTGTGCTCTTCCTTGAGGAGAGCCACCTCACCTGCTCCCAGCTTTCCTCAGCTATTTATGTTCCTTGTGTGGGGTTGATGTCTGTTTTGTGCTGGTAATTGAGCCCAAGGCCTTGGGCAAGCTAGGAGGTTTGTATACTACCATTAAGCTACTTCTTTGGCTCCCAGACTTGTTTTTATATTTAGAAATGGAATGTTCTTATTTTAGTTTCTTTTTATGATACTTGGTTTATCTTAATGTATCTGTCAAGCAATGTTTCCATACAAGTTTTCCAGTTCTTCTTTCCATGATGGATTATGTCCATGTTTCTCTCTACAGTGCAAATGGGTTTGAAGATGGAATAAGTACACTGGGACTCGTATCTGGTCTTTTTGGTGCCATGTGGTCAGTTGGGTAAGTGAATCTATTTGCTCCTGAGAAGGTGTTGTCTCTAAGGTACAGACTGAAACACCAGGAAGGCACAAGTGGTTCTCTAAGGCAAAAAAAGCTTACCCAGGCAGAGCAAGAATTCTAATTGACACCATGTGACTCCAAGTCTAGTATGTCAGCAAACTTCACACCAAACCAAGATATGCATGATCCATGCTTTGGGTGATACTTAAAAGTTCTTTTAGCAGTAGTGTATCTTAGACTTTTAAAATGCATTCATCTATTGATACACTTGCTTGCTTGTTTGCTTATTTATTTACTTCCTACTAGACCTGACACTGCAATGTGATGCATACAAAGTCACTAACTACGGACTGAACTGACTCAGATATTGAGAGTAGAAAGAACTGTGAGCTTAAAAGGACCCTTCTGCTGTGGGTGTGGGGAACGCACTACACAGTACAGCACCCATAAGAAGGTCAGAGTACAGCCTTGTGTAATTGGTTCCCTTCTTCTCTCCATCTTTATGTGTGTTCTCGGGATGGAGCTCAGGTCTCCAGGCCTTACCTGCTCAGCCATGTCACCTCCCACTGTTCTTTCTACTCTCAATATCTGAGAATGTCTCAATCCCAGGACTCATTTATGCCCAGGAATTGCCCTGTTTGTTTATCTTTTGTTGTTCTAGTTTAAGGAAGACCAGTGACTGGGTGTCCTGCATTTTTTTAAAAAGAAGTATGTGTTTATGTATGTATGTGAGTACACTGTAGCTGTTTTCAGAAGAGGGCATCGGATCCCACTACAGATGGATGTGAGCCACCATGTGGTTTCTGGGAATTCAACTCAGGACTTTTAGAGGAGCAGTCAGTGCTCTTAACCATTGAACCACCTCTCCAGCCAGGACATCCTGTATCACTTTTTCACTGTTAGCTATTCACACATTCTTCTCCTTTCATTAGTGCTTTCATGGGACCTATCTTGGGAGGATTTCTGTGTGAGAAAATTGGTTTCGAGTGGGCAGCAGCTATACAAGGTGTATGGACTCTACTAAGTGTGAGTACCCAGAGATGTATGGGGCTTCCTTCCATTTTCTTACATTTTGGCGACACTGGCCTTGGAGGACTTACTTTGACAGTGTGTTTCATTGCATTAAAGGGTGTTGTGATGGCCTTATTTTATCTCTGGGAGGACTCAGCAACAAGAAGAAGGTATGTCAACTGCTAGACTTGTTTCCTCTTAAAAGAAATCAGTTCATGAGAGTAGAAAAGAAGTATCATTTTCCATTCTCCTTGCTATTGGATTTCAAGGCATCCTAAGCCTCATTATTTGACAGATAGGTCCAAGGAGGTTCTTGAATTGAGATGTAGATACTTAATGTTTAGTTTTCTTTTGGGGCTGAGCTGAGAGTTGAGACAGGGTTTCTCTGTGTAGCTTTGGTTGTCCTGTAATGCACAATGTAGACCAGGCTGGCCCCGAACTATGGCCTTGAACTCAGAGATCTTCCAGGCTCTGCCTCCCTAGTGCTGGGATTAAAGGTGTGTACATAGCCACAACCACCCGCTGTGTTTGTTTTTTTTTTTTTTTTAACAAAACCAGTACTGTTGTTTTTTTCTGTACTGTAGATCTAAAGCTCAGAACATCCTTGGTACAGAGGAGGAAAGAGCTGTTCTCTTGCCCAATGACACCTAACCTTGCAAGCTCTGGATTGCTCCAGATCAAGAGACAGGTGCCATGATGGTGATTGCAGCCTGGAGAAGCTTCCTGTGTGCCACACAGAGATCCGTGCTTCCTGCACTTGCACTTCCTGTAGTTCTGGAAAGCTGGCTCACCAAGGCAGCCCATTGGAACATCTAGGAGAAAGGGCGAACCAACAGAAGCCGGTGTTTCCAAAAGACCAACCTTGCCTGTCGGGTGTTTTTATTGACCGCCTTTGCTTTCTTATTCTTGTGTTCACTTTTCACTCCAAGTTCACAGATGCTATGAATGTACCTCTTAAAATCGATAAATGAGAAAAATGAAGCTATTTAATTCACACTGAACATATAAAATAAAATGAATAATTTTATGAAATCAGTTTCAGAAGATGGCCTTTCTCTCCACGGAAGTTTGTACTCATCAAAAAGGCAAAATTCCTGCCTACCATATAAAAACTCCAGAGCATTAGCTTTCAGTTTTTCTAAAAGTGTTTGCATGGCATGTTCAAGAAAAAATGATTTATGTACTTGGGTCCTGTGACATTTCCTGTCATGATCTGGATTTATACACATTATTTGCATAACATTGTTTGTTTCTGATCTTAGCACATCTTTGTTTTAGTCCCATGATTTGTTTTCTTATTGTGTTTACTACTCTTCATACTCCTGGAAAATGTGTTCTATCACCAGGCTGGGCAACACCTACCTATGCCCAGCCAAGCAAGAGCCGTGTTCTCCACATGGAGAAGTACTCCAACTTCACAGAAAATCCTTGTTGCTACTTGAAGTTAGAATGTCAACTTTGTACCTCCTGATTCATTTTCATAATGTAGTAGCTACATTTCCTTTATAATAAAATAATGAATGATTTTTGTTTGGCTATTTGTTATATTCATTCAAAACGCTTCTGAAATAATATTTCAAGTATCTCAGGGGAACCTGAAATTCACCTTGTAGCTGAGGACAACCCTGGACTCCTGATCTTCCTGCTTCTAATGTCCCAAGTGCTGGGATTAGCATGTATGCACCACTACACAGGGTAGTGGGTATTGAACCCTGGGCCTTATGCATACTTGGCAATCACTCTACCAACTGGTTTATGGGCACAATCCCTGAATACCTTCTGAATTCTTTCTCAGGGTCAACCTTGCATAGATAAGTACCAGGGACATAATCGATGCCCATATGCAACTTCTAGGTCCTTAATTCATTCTCCTCAACTTTAGTTATGGAGCCTAGAGTGATAAGGGGACAAAGGAGCAGGTCAAATGCATGTAGTTAATTAGGACATAATAGGCCATTACATTGGTTATAGTTTTTATAATTTGTGCACCTTGGTTTAGATAACAGCAATTTCTATATTCTTTACCTTTTAACATAAAATTAAGAAAATATATAGAGAAGTGGGAGAGGTGTTCATTCCTGGGCTGGGAACATGAACTTGTCTGACCCCGCCAGCAAGAGATGGAGGAGAAGTTGTCCTTGGGATGGCTGGACTCAGACAGCTGTTTACAGCAGAAGCTGTTCAGCTAAAGGGAAGTCTCCAGTCCCCCTATACCATGGGACCTTCAATTTAGTTTCTCCTTATGATTGAATGAAGTCTGAAAATGAAATGGTAACATTTAGAAGACGTTTCTTTTGCTTGTTCCCAACAGTATAATAGATGGCTGCCTGGTACTGGTTATGCCTGTATGGGAACTAATTTGCACAAGCTCATGCCATGGAAATGGAACTTCATAGTAGAGACCTGAAATAAAATGTGACAATTATCACAGTGGTCCACTTGCAGGATGGAAGATGACAGCATGGTCCACTGACTGGAGTCTGGTGGGTATCAGTTAGGTGGGATGAGATAGCCAGCCAGCTTGGCAATGAGGTTACCAGAATGGATGTCCCTTTTGTCAAGTTCTTGGAGTCTGTGTGTACATTGGGTGAGGATGCTGGCAAGCAACAATGGAGATGGAAGGGAAACTTTGAGAGGAAATAATGTTTGGGGACCATGGAGGTGGCCTTAGAGCTCAAGAGAAAAAATGAAAATGTCACACAGAAATGGAAATGTCAGCATTGCTGCTGTGAGGGAGGTGGGGGAGCAGATTCGAAAATGACTCCTAGGTTTGGCCATGTGGTGTGATAGAAGGCTGCACCTCTTAGTGAGATGGTGAAGGGATGAAGCAGAACTTAACTGACGGGCCAGATGAAAACCATGATGATCGTGGTGTGGTGGTATTGTAGAGTGAAAAATTATAGATACTGGGTATATAGAATCCTTTTTAGACATATAAAATATTCTTTAGGCTTTCTTTGTAAGGACATGGAAAATTTTCTGAGAAACTGAGCCATGAAGCAAGTTAGGAATGTGGAAAGACCAGTCACCATTACTGGAACTGGCCTATCTGCAAAGAGAAAGGAAAGAATGCAAGTGAACTAGGTGGAACCAAGCTGGGAACCAAGCTGAGAACCGCAGTGACAGGGCAAGGCCACAGTGACAGGGCAAGACCACATTCTTGAGAAAGATAAGCGTACAGAGAGTTTTTACCTGACCCTGACTCATGTAGGTTGGGTTCCTTTGGAATGTTCCACTATTTTTATGTTATACCACCCTAGCAACCCCCTCACCCCCTCCTCATTCCTTGGTTTGTGGTTTTTCCCTTTAAAAACACCTCTCAAACTGGCTGTCGGGGTCAATTCAGCTCCTGCGTGGGCATACGAATTGACCGGCAGCTAGCTGTTACGCCCTAATAAATCTCGCAATTGCTCCGGTACATGATGTCTCGAGCAGATTACTGGGCGGTCGCATCTTTCTGAGATTTGAGTGAGGGTCTCCCTTCTGCAGAGGTCTTCAGTATATGCCTTCAATTCCAGCACTCCTGAGGGTAGGTAGATCTCTGTGAATTCAAGGCCAGCATGATCTTCATATTAAGTTCCTCCAGGATCAGCCAGAACTCATAGAGAGTTTCTGTCTCAAACAACAACAAACAAAAACGATAACAGCACAAGTAATTATAATAACCCTGACAAGATACTTTTATCTCACACCATCACAGGGCAGCTCAAGGATGAAGGAGTACTTCTGTGAAAGTGACTGACATCCACTGTTGAGGTTGAGGTCCATATGTCTCATGAGTTCATTTTTTTTTCCCACCCGCTCTTTGCCTAAATGGGAGAAATGACCTGGGTAAGCATGTGCTGATGTGACCAACTAATTTTCTTAGATGCAGTTAACTAAGAAGAGGAGGGTACATTCATTTGTATACAATGATTCTCTTTCCCAGACTGCAGAGAGTGACCAGGACCTTTGAGCCAGTGTGGAGAGCAAAGTAGGGCTGGACCTTGATGGTCCTGGTCTCTCTCAGAGGTTTTCTCTCATCTTTTGCATCGAGGAGGGTAGGTGAGTAGCTGGGTGGAAGACACCACCATCTCCTCTTTCACAGGTGGCCAAAGACTCCACCAAGTCCCTGCACTTCTTATTACCACCTCCAACAAGAGATGCTACACAGGTACAATCTCACTGAAGCACTCTAGTGGCTGTCCATGGCTCTTTCTACCAGTCAGTTATCAGTCACTGAGTGTTCATGCTTTTCTTCATTCTCATTCCCAACATGCTGCTTTTAGCATGTGCCTCAGATCAAACCATTTTATCTCTTTCTCTTTTAAAACTTCATCACCATTAAGATAAATGACAAAATAGTGTAAAACTTTGGGATGTTCTGGGGGGTGATGGAAGCTGTCTGGGCTCTCCCTGTCTCTATCTCCTTACCAAGTCTGGACATCCAGCTTTGTCTCCTCTTCTTCACCTTGGAGACTTTGGTGCTGGTCTCACATGGCCAAAGAAAGGGGATCTCAGATTCAGTATTTTCTGCTTTTTAATAGTTGGCTTTTAACGCAATAACAACATATGACTTTCTTTTCTAGAATATTCACAGAATGTTTTTATATAGCATACTATAGTGCATTTCAGCTGTAATAAAGGTACTTACTAGTACATTCTATACAAATGAATTAAATATGCATGCTGGGTTTTACTGTATTTATGCAAAAATAAAAAACAAATCTTATCTGAAATATCACATTTGAGATGCATTCAATATTTTCTGCTTTTAATAGTTGGCTTTTGATGCAGGAACAATGTAAGGTATTCTTTTTATGAATCTTCACAGAACTTTTTCACTTACATACTACAATGCATTTCAGCTGTAATAAAGGTACTTACTCGTACATTATATACAAATCAATAAAATATGCATGCCTGGGTTTTACTATGATTATGCAAAAATAAAACAACAAATCTTATCAGAAACATCACCTGTGAGATGCATTCAGTGTTTTCTGCTTTCTAATAGTTGACTTTTAACATGGGAAAAAGTATGATTTTCTTTTCGTGTATCTTCAAAGGAAGTTATTCCATTTCATACCATAGTGCATTTTAGCTGTAATAAAGGTCCTTACTTGTACACTCAATAAGAATCAATGAAATACGCATACCTGTGTTTCACAGTGTTTGTGCAAAAATCAAAACAGCATTTCTAAAAGAATCGTCACCTGTGAGACAAATTCAGTGTTTGTACTTTCTTATATTTGGGTTTTAATGCGGGAACAATGTATGTTTTTTTCATATAGCCTCAGAGAATGTTTTTCCATTACATACTACAGTGCATTTCAGCTGTAATAAAGGTACTTACTCACACATTCTATACAAATCAATAAAATTTTCATGCCTGGGTTTTATTGTGTTTATATGAAAATCAAAATAATACACCTTAATAGAAACATCACCTGTGAGATGCATTCAGTGTTTTCTGCTTTATGATAGTTGGCTTTTAACACATGAACATCGTATAGTTTTCTTTTCACTAATATTCACAGAATGTTTCTTCCTTATATTCTAGAGTGCATTTCAGCTGTCATAAAGGTACTTACTTGTACATTCTATTCAAATCAATCAAATATGCATGCCCTGGTTTTACTGTGTGTATGAGAAAATCAAAACAATGTATCTTAACAGAAACAAAACCTGTGAGATGCATCCAGTGTTTTCTGATTTCTAATAGTTGCCTTTTGACCCAGGAATAACATATGGTTTTATTTTAGTGTATCTTCACATAAAGTTTCTTTGTTACATACTACAATGCATTCCTTCTGTAATAAATGTTCTTTTTTTTTTTTTTTTTTTTTTTTTTTGAGACAGGGTTTCTCTGTGTAGCCCTGGCTGTCCTGGAACTCTCTCTGTAGACCAGGCTGGCCTCGAACTCAGAAATTCGCCTGCCTCTGCCTCCCAAGTGCTGGGATTAAAGGCGTGCGCCACCACCGCCCGGCAATAAATGTTCTTATATTTATTGGTTCTATACAAATCAATGAAATATTCATACCCGTGTTTTACTGTGTTTGTGTGAAAATCAAAATATCTTATCAGAATATCTTAACAGAAACATGACCTGTGAGATGCATTCAGTGTTTTATGCTTTCTAATATTTGGCTTTTAAATAGGGAACAATGAATACTTTTCGGTTTCATATGTCTTCATAGAATTTTTACTATTGCATACTACAGTGCATTTCCACTGAAATAAAGGTTCTTACTCATATATCCTATACAAATCAATTAAATACGCACGTCCATGTTTTACTGTGTTTGTGCAAAAATCAAAACAGCATATCTTAAAAGAAACATCATCTGTGAGATGCATTCAATGTTTTCTGCTTTCTAATAGTTGGATTTTATTTCGGGAACAACATATGGTATTTTTTTCTTGTATCTTCATAGAATGTTTTTCCGTTACATATTACAGTTCATTTCCATCATAATAAAGGTATTTACTCTTCTATTCTATACAAATCAAGGAACTAGGCATGCCCTGGTATTATTGTATTTATGTGAAAATCA